GAGTGTGTCTGGTGGGCAGAAATAGCTGCTCATCTGTTTGGTTGGTTGGTTGCCCCAAAACCACATCCCAACATCCCACTTTGCAGGGCATCTCACAGCCTTTCATAGCCTATGCCGTGCTGGGAGTGTTTTGAGGGTTTGTGGAGCAGTGTCTATCAGGGAAGGTCTGGGGCAGGTGTCCAGGGAAGGTCCATGGTCCTGCCTGGCAGGGCAAGCAGTCCATGCCTCTGCAGGCCAGGGCTGGGTGGCGTCTGTCTGTCTGTCTGTCTGTCTGTGTGCTGGCAGACCGGAGCACGTCTGGGGGTGTGTTGGCCATCCCTGGTGGAGAGAGGCACTGAGTGGGTCGAGCTGCTTCTGGCCAAAACCTTGAGCTTGCCCGTGCGGGCTGCGGGCCTGGAGCGAGCCCTGCCCGTGCTGCTGACCTCGCCTCACCCTGTGAGTGAAGGCTGGGGCTGAGCACGGCCTCAATCGACTATTGTCCTGGTGCAGAGCCCTTGGAAGCGCCGGGGAGTCACGTAGCCCATGTGCCGCCAGGTTAAACCCCGGCTGAGGGTGCTCGCTGGAATTACAGCTCCGTGCTTAATGCTCTAAGCCCGCTTAAAACTGGTGAAAGTGGTGTCTCATTAGCTCCTGACAATCTTGATTTCGTCTTGCTTCTGGCCAGAAAAAGGCCAAATTTGAAGCTATGAAGCGTTATTGGCTGGGAACCAATAACCGATCATCGGTGTGATTGCCAGCACTTCTGTCTCCCCAGCGCAAGATCTCGGTTTGGGTTTGGGGTCCAGAAGGGATGCTGGGGGTCTGTTGGCTCCCTACATTGGACAGATGTCCCATGGGATGTTTATGGCCCTGTGCTGAGCTCTAGAAGAGTCTGTGAGCTGGGCTTGGAGGGGTAGATGTGTGTCAGGCTCTCCTTTGGCTAATGCTTTTGGATGGGGCTGGTGGGAACAGGCTCCTGTGTCCCCCTCTGTGCTGGGAGCTCGAGGGAGGAGCCCCCTCAGGGAGAAGGGTCTGTGCTGCTGGTGAGGGACAGCTTTGTGCCCATCCTGCCTGACCTGGATGTTTCAGTGTTGGCATTGCCAGGCCAATGTTTGGGTCCAGCTGACAAAGGCACAAGGAATCCAAATGACCAGTTTCACAGCTGTGCCATACCTGGACATGTTTTTACCATGGAGATGTCACTTCAGACATTGCTGTGACTCTTTTTAGAGCTGGGGAAGCACAGGAGGAGTGGAGGGCAGGGAGTGGAGGCAGCCTCTCTGCAGCTGCTGTAGACTTCACACCTGCCAAGGTGTGCTGGGTGAGCCTCTGCCAGCAGTGGCACAAACCTACATGGACATGAAGGTGGTGATGGGCTGTGGGATCAGGAGTTGGACCTCTCTGCCTGTCCTTGCTCTGTGGAAATAGGAGCTGGGGCTCCCTGCCTGCCCTGCTCCAGCCTCAGCTCTACCAGTTGCTCCATAGGAAAAGCTTTGCAAGCCCACACGGCAGCAGATGCCGGTGAGCATATTCCCAGAGCAGGGAAGCCTTGAGCTGGAGACATGTGCGAGCAGAGGCAGAGATGTGTTGTGCCTGGGCATGGCCTCTGTGTGTGGGTGGGGGTTGTCCCTCTTCCTCTGACCCCAAAAAGGAGCAGTGTGAGGCCACTTTCATAAAGGCTTTGCCCCAGAAATACTTTGCAGCATTTGCAGTGCTTTATAAATGTGAGCTTGTCTTTCTGTGCTGGAGTCCTGCCAATCCAGGCTTTGAAAAGTGCAGCAATTTGCTGCATTATGTAACGAAAAGTCTTGAAATCATCCTGTTCCAGGCCCCTTTGGAGAAGGGATAACAGTGCTTGTGTGTGGGACCTGGAAGGTGGAGGGGTGTTAGTCTCATGTGGGATCTGTTTTGAGGTGATACCATCCTTGCCTTGATTCCTGCTCTTGCTATCGCTGTGCAGAGGAGTGTGGCTGTAGGCTACCCATTCCTGGGGATTAGTCAGGACATTTACAGCCAGCAGATGTGATACTTGCAGTCATTACTTGGTCTCATCAGTTTTAATTACTGCAAATATGGTTATTTTATTTCCTAATAGGGCAAACTGTAACTGGCTGCCTGGCAGCTGTGAATTTGATTTCCAAACACGTCTTACACGTTGCAGCTCTTCCAAAACAGAGCTGGAAATGTCATAACTATGTTCTGGGTCGGGTTTTTTTTTTTTTTCCTTTTTGTAAAGGGGAGGGAATCTTTCCAATTGGGCTGGCTGCCTTACATGTGCTTTATTATTTTTCCTCATTTGTTTGAAACTACGTCTGTGTGGGGGCAAGGAGGAAATCGGCAAGAAGCCTTAATGTGGTTGAGGATGAGCTTTCTAAAACTGGTCTTTCTTAATAAGGGTTTTCAATGAGTCAGGGAATACTGTTGTGGCATGTAGAACTCCTCATGTAAACCCTCTGGCATCAGGCTTTGCGACTCTTGCTTCATGATCTCAAAACCTTGTTCAGCTGTGCCTCAGCAATGCAAGAGAGGTCATGTCTAACCCGCCAAAAGTCTTTTATTTTACAGAGAGATGTCACCTCAGCAGCCAC